AAAAGATTGGTAACACCAAGCTCGATGTGGCAATATCTTTAACTTTTCTTTTAATTTTTGGTTTTTGAGTCGTGTTGTGTATGTCGAAGGGGCTGGATGCCTCAGTTTTCGTGATAAGTCGTCAAAGTTGAGGTTGTTGGAGTGTTGCACGGCTAAGGCCACATATCCGCATGGCCGCGTAAAATTCAGCTTTGCCCGTGCAGAGCCCCTAAAAATCCCGTACGGGCAAAAGGGGCCCTCGTACGATCGTGTGGATTCCTCGGCCTGCCCGTACCGATTTATCGGTCGCCTACGGGCTTGGATTTGAAATTGTACGGTCGTACGGCCTGCCCGTGCAGTGAGCCCAGCAGCCCTATAAATAGGCGGCACGGCCGTGCAACACCACTTTTTCACCCAATCTCACCGGAATCCTCTCACCTCGCCGAAAAAACAGCAATTTTTCGGTCTCTCTGTCAATTTCCCCGCCACCTTGGGTCGTTTTTCATGGAATCAACCCCGGAACCGATCTTTCCTCTCTCTCGCCAGCCTATCCCCTTGTTTTGAGGTGATTTGCGTCGGTTCTAGGTCGATCTAACGAGCAATTCCTGGCAGAAATTGGGCGATTCGTTGCTTTCTTTGCCTTCCCCTCACCTACCCCTGCACCTTTACTTGTGTCTCCAGGTTTGATTTTGCCTTATGAATTTTGGAGAATTGGGTGTTAGGGTGTTTAGGTAAAGAATCAAGTTGCATGCATGAATTGATCGAAATTGCTCGAGGGGAAGGCTAGGATTGAGTATTAGGCATGTTGTGGAATGTGATTCTTACTTGATTGGACCCTTGTGTGGTGCTTTTGCTTGTTTTTCATGCTCATTTTATTCACGCACACAAGGTGTTCGACAAAATGCCTGTTTTTCACACACTTTTGTGAGGGCTGCTTGGTGCCCTTAATGACATGCTATGATTATGTGCTAGGTATGGTTGCGAAGCTCGTGTTACCTATCTTCACACCTTGGAGACACTCCCTATCTTGATTGTGCCTCATTGGTTGAGTTTCTTATTCGTGAAATATGCATAGCACCATGGCTCGACTCTAGTTGAGCTCAAGTGTAGGGGTGTGCTAACCATCACCATGGCTATTTTTTTTACTTCACTTTGGTTCTTGGTCTTGCAGGATCAATGTCAAAGCCCAATCTTAAGCATCGGTACATCCAAGAACTTAAGTCGGGGCCTCACAAAGCTTAGTTTAAGCGAGTCCTGGAGCCTGCAGTTTGGAAAGGACCATTGCTGGAGCAAGCGCACACTCCAGAGCATCAATTGCTATGACGCCCTCCATGTCCGTTGTTCGCAACCGGATGTGGCAGCTGCCTGCTGGCCCTACATGAGTGGGTCTATTTCGAGCTGGTGATTGAATTTTACTCCACTTTTCGACACATCGAGACTGCTGATTGGAAGGACAGCGAGGCTATCAAGTTTAGGTTGGGCGGCGAGTACCACTCCATGAGCTACCATGATTTGGCGGCTTCCTTCTCTCACAGCACCCGACTTCAATCATGACTTTGTTGTCGAGGTACCACCGGCCGGTGTCTCCTTCTCAGTCCTGTACCTCCAGCTGGCCTGGCCTCCTCACGACATTGTCGATAATGGTTTCACCCGTCGGGCGCATGAAGGCCAGCACGTTGCAGACCGAGTGTCGTCTTCTGCACCACCTGCTCACGAAGTCCTACGCCCCTAGTAGCGAGAGTGCCAGCACTCTGACCAAGAGGTCCCTCTACTTCCAACAGTCGATCCGCACTGCCCACCACGGGCTGCATTTGGGGTCCGTTTTGGCGAAGACTTTCGCTAAAAGTGCTCAGACTCTAGGGATCCTCCACTACACCCCACTTATCACCACGCTGGCCATCCATATTCACATCGACTACTAGGACTGTACGAACCTGGGCGGGACTTGGTTTTTTGGGGAGGACAACATCTCCTAGATGCGGCTGCTTCGCGAGTCCCGTAGGGTCAAGTGGGTCGAGGGACTGCCCCTCAAGCCATCCCTGAGCCAACTGAACCGGAGGCTCAGGATGTTGAGTCCGCGGATGTGGACGCTGCTGCGCGCCACCAGACCTTCTCTCACAACACTTATGAGCATGGAGGTGGCAACTCCTCTGTTCCCTCGCAATATTACTTCTCCCAACACTTCAAGCAGATGGGTTGCCAGTTCCAGCAACTGGGTATTCATAACTAGCAGATCCTCGACCATCAGCTCCAGTTCCAGCAGCACTATGTGGTTCATCAGGCTGAGTACATCACCCGCATGGCTGCGTACGACGAGCACCTGGACCGGATGGAGGCTCCTCAGGGGATCACCCTCGCCCATATTGAGCGTGAGCGCGCTCGGGCTTGACAGATGCAGGAGGTCCAGCCGTACCTCGTTGATCAGGTCTCGGGCCTTCCACCAGCCTGTCAGACTCCTTGGGATGCTTCCCCTACCTCCGCCCTCCACCTCCACCGAGTGACGATGACTTCATGAGGGACATTGACTTCGACGCCATCGGTGACGAGTAGGTTGTGCTCGTCAGTCCCTTTAGTTGTGTTTGTATTTTCTTTTTGTCTTTGTTTGCTCCATGTGTGTGCAGAGCTTGGACTGAATCATTTGTGTGTTTGTTTTTCTTTTGGATTGTCGTTTTGTAGCAATCTGGGCTGACTCTAGTTGTTGTTTCTGAAACCCTCTTTTGTAGTGACTGGCCCCCATTCCAGTCTCGTGTTTCTGATGACTAGTCCCCACTCCAGTCCGTGCCTGCTATCGTCCTGTTCTCGGTAACATCGGTTCACCCCTATTCTCTTTTTTCTGCTCCAGTGAGGGCACTGTCGATCTTAAGTGTCGAGGCACTCTCTTTTTTCTACAAATTTATAGGGAAAAATTTTAATGATCAAATACATTGCCCTATACCACCATGATATAGGTTAGTAACTTGTGGTAGACGGTGATGAAATGTGATAAATGACATTTAGTATATTTCTACTAACATGTATACAATCATTCTATACCACAGCATATGCATTCATACCATCATAGTACACAATCATGTTCATACCATATGATAGAATCTTATGTACTATCAAACATTACCACCTTGGTATGGACAGATAATAATGTCTCAAGTTTTTGTTCCAAAATATCAATCTGGATGTCATTTCAAACAGTACAATTAATATGATATATTTGTGCAACAAGAATGAAATTATAACTTAAAATCAAAGTGATATAACTCATTAAAATTAATTGCGAGAAAAGTTAGTTATTTCCATAAATGGTAAGTGCAGGGTTACGCATAATTATGAATAACATGATCACAAATAGGATCTGCTCTCGAGATTGACGCTAGGATACAATTTCTAATACATTGGTTACAAATGCATTACAAAATAACTAGTGTTGTCCATATTAGTGGTTAACAATTTACTGAAAATTTAAGTTGGTAACCATGATTATCGGTTAAACCATTACCGATAATATCGGTTGGTGGTAAACAACAAAACACAAACAACATACCCACTCATATCTGGTTAATTACCGGTGGTTAATCGGATAACTGAAACCCACCCATTGGCAGAGGCAAAACGACAATAGATTGATTTAGCCAACCCTAAATTTGTGTTCCCTTCCCCTGCATGCCTCACGTTGTGCGTACCATTCTCTTCTGATCTCTCCATCTTCTCTTCTCCCTTCGAAGTCGCTCACAGTCACTACTCACTACCAGTCCACTAAGCACAGAAGAGCATAGAGGGTGACCATCGTTGGTAGAAGCCCCACTAGCCACCGTCGAATCCTAACCCAATAAGATCAAAGCGAACTTCAGCCAACGCCGTGTGTTGCGGGCAGAGAAGTCACTTAGGGAGGACGACCCTCCGATAACTGGCAGTGCTGATGATTCTGGCATGAACGTTTCTCTTCGTAGCCGGTTGTACGGGTAACTAGTTTGTTAATCGATAATCGACTAGACAGTAAATCCTGTAAACAGTCTGTCACCAGGTGGCGGAGCCACTTAAGACCAAAGTAGGTCATTTGCACCACCTTGGCCCAAAAATATAGAGTAAATTTTTTATTTGATTGTGAATTGAATACAAGATCTCCCTATTATTGTAGATAATTTTATTAAAAAATAATATTTAGTGATCTATATTTAACTTTTAATTCATATATTCTCTAATTGAGTTTAATATAAACAAAAGCTCGAAACTTATTGGTGTTTGTTGTTATCAGTTGCCATTGCAATTGTTGAAATGACACTTTTAGGGTAAACAAAGTGAATAAACACTTCAGAATAAGATGAGTTGTATAATCATGAACGATTTTTCATTGTGGTATCTCAACGTCCCTCATAATTTGTACGATGAATGAATTTTAGAAATTTTTTTTAGAACATGAACACATTCCAAAACTTGCTCCCCCCACATTTGACCTCCCTTAGATGAATTTCTGACTACGCCACTTGCATAGACAGTAGTTAATTGTCATAATTTGGTTAAACAATTAACGATTAAACCAATTACCGACCGATTACCACTCTTAAAAATAACTGCACATTAAAAAATCGTTTATTAAGAAATTAGACCTGGTTGTTGAACCAAAGACCACCAATCCCTTTTAATAATAAAGAAATATATATGTGAAGATACTAGGCATCTTTTGGGTCCACTCACCGGATTTTCGATCAATGCAAATTCTAATATACTCCCGCAACTTTACCCAATTTCCAATTATTGTTCCCTGGTGACCAATCCGATTCTGTTTTTTCCTTTTTTTAATTGTAAAAACTAAAAAGTAACCCAATTCCTTCGTTTCGTTTTTTTTAAACATATAAATAATCCTCTTTTTTCTGGAAAAAAGGGAGTGAAAATATTTGTTTAAGTTGTAAAGCAACAACTGGTTAATTGGGAGTGACAGGGTGCGGGAGCGAGACTCTGCAGCAGCTCCGCTCCATCTCTGTAACTGTGTCAATTTGGCTTTTTGTCTTTAAGCTTTTTGGTTCTTGGCTCTTTTCTCTCCGTGGGTACCGTGAAATGAAAAAGAAACTTTGTGCCTTTTCACCCATCTTCTCTCCCTAAAACATTTGCTTCAAGAGTGAGGATGAAGGTAATGGCGTTGTTGGAGTCAAGAGGGTAAGAAAGACGGAAGAAGAAGCAAAGAACAGCCATCTGAAAGGCGAGAACAAAAACAAGAAGAATTGAAAGTTGGTAGAAACCAGCCTTTGTGGGGGCATTTGAAACCAGAGTTCGAGGTCTTTTTTTATTTATTTCTGGAGCAGAAAAACATTCTCAGATCTCTAGGATCTCAGAATTTCAGGGAAGGGAGCGAGGAGGCGAGTTGGAGCTTGGATGTTCTTGTTCGTTTCTCGTGAAGAAAAGAAATTCCCTCTGCTTTTCCTATTCTTCCCCATCTTAGTAATTCGATTGGGAAAGCAGCTAACTAGTGGAGAAGCGGGGGATTCCCGGCGGATTGTGGGAACGCTGGCCTTATGCCTTAAATGGGTTCTAGAGCTTGAGTAAGAAAAAGGAGAAGCAAGTTGGGAAGGTTTGGTTTGGATAAGAGGGTAAAGAATTGTAGTGGGTCGAGCAAAAAAGGATGGCTTGTCGGGTTGGTGGCTGTGGTTGATTGATGAGAGTGTCGTGGTTGTGGCAGGCAGAGCGAAGGGGGCGAAGAATAGGAGTGACAAAATTTGGTGGAACTGTGAAGGAAGAAAGAATATGGAAGGAAGGTGTTTCAGGATTTGGGAGTTTGGATTTCTGGTTTTGGCATTAATGGAGATATGCTCTGCAACTCTCTCCCCTACAGGCATTAACTATGAAGGTCAGTATTATTTTTGCCCTTTTCTTCTCTTCCTCAAAAAATTTCTCTCACTGCTAGGAGGTTCCGTTCTGCCAAGACCAGAATTCAACTGCTAACCCTTGGGTTTGCGATTTTTTCCCCCTTTTTGCTTTCTGGAAGCAGTGGTTGCTTTGGTTGCCATTAGGAATGCTCTACACGACCCCTACAGTGTTCTGGATAACTGGGATGCCAATTCAGTGGATCCTTGTAGCTGGAGGATGGTTACTTGCTCATCAGACGGTTATGTATCTGCTCTGTAAGTTTCTATTCTATTCGAGGAGTCTCTGTGTTTTTCGCTGTGTGTCACAGTTCATTTATGTTGCTGATGGGTCCATATAAATTTTAACTGGGATAGAAATCATTTCCATAAACAGGGGACTTCCCAGTCAGAGCTTGTCTGGCACCTTATCACCTTCAATTGGGAACCTTACTAACTTGCAATCAGTGTAAGTCATCGTAGACCAAATCTCTGTGTTTAAAACTTCTCATTTCCAATCACTTTTCCTGGTTTGCTTCATCTTCCAAGGTCCTTTATTTCTTTTGCATTGTTCTCCAGGTTGCTGCAAAACAATGCTATTTCAGGCCCCATCCCCAGCACAATTGGGAAACTAGACAAGCTTCAGACGCTTGATCTGTCCAACAATTCGTTTTATGGCGAGATACCGGCTTCCCTAGGGGATCTCAAGAACCTTAATTACTTGTAAGCTCAGACAGTTTTGTTTCATTTCATATCATGCCTTCTGTCATTACTGGAATCCCCCACAAATTCATATGATTTTGATTATTATTTCAGGCGCTTGAACAACAACAGCCTTACTGGATCTTGTCCTCAATCTCTGTCCAATATTCAAGGGCTTACCCTTGTGTGAGTTCTCATGGACTTCCTCACCCTGGATGCTTATACAGTTGCAGTGGTGGCTTGTACCTATTTTTAGACATGAATAACAGTGTTACGAGGTGTGCGTATTAATACTCATTACCGAAGTGATCTTTGTTTTTTTCTAGGGATATCTCCTTCAACAACTTGAGTGGTTCACTGCCAAGAATATCAGCAAGAACCTTCAAGTGAGTGAGCTGTACATCTACACCCTTGGTCTTATGTTGATGATACCCTCAGCCTCTTTTTATACTTTTCACTATCTATCTGTTGCTTGTACACCCATTTTGATATGTTGTTTTCTCGTATTGCTAGAGTCATTGGCAACCCTCTAATTTGTGGACCTAAGGCTGAGAACAACTGTTCTGCTGTGTTTCCAGAGCCCCTTTCTCTCACACCTGAAGGTGCAGACTCTTTGTTAAGTACACATTTGGGATCTCTGTATTTTAGTGTCTTCAATATTTTGTTGCTGAAATTCTTGTTTCATTTGTTGGATTCTCAGCTGCATCAGATGCTACGTCAACCAGTCACCATGTGGCCATTGCTTTTGGTGCAAGCTTCGGTGCTGCATTTGCCATTATACTAATCATGGGATTGCTCGTATGGTGGAGATATAGACACAACAAGCAGATTTTCTTTGATGTGAATGGTTAGTATTTGAAAATATCATGGCTTTGCCTCTTTCCTTTCTGAAGCCTTCTGCTTCTGTACTTTGTTTTTCTATCCGTGCATAATGTTGTCAGTTATGTTTGGACAGAGCAATATGATCCTGAGGTGCGGTTGGGACATTTGAGGAGATACACTTTCAAGGAGTTGAGGAGTGCAACTGATCATTTTAGTGCGAAGAACATCCTAGGAAAAGGCGGGTTTGGGATTGTTTACAAAGGATGCTTCAATGATGGGAGTGTTGTGGCTGTTAAAAGGCTTAAGGACTACAATGCAGTTGGTGGCGAAATTCAATTCCAAACAGAAGTAGAGACGATCAGTTTGGCTGTCCATCGCAACCTCCTCAGGCTCTCTGGGTTCTGCACTACTGAGAACGAAAGGATTCTGGTTTACCCCTACATGTCTAATGGCAGTGTTGCATCTCGGTTAAGAGGTAACTAGTCATCTCAACTCCATGTGATATCATCACTCGTCTAATCACATGTCTGTCATTGCTCTTCCAGAAGGCCGGTTTCCTCACTTGTTTTTGGGATTCTGTGACCACCACCAGATAACATCCATGGCAGGCCAGCTTTGGATTGGGGAAGGCGTAAAAAGATAGCTTTAGGCACAGCAAGGGGGCTGCTTTACCTACACGAGCAATGTGATCCAAAGATCATCCACCGGGATGTTAAAGCTGCCAATATTTTGTTGGATGAAGACTTTGAGGCTGTTGTTGGGGATTTTGGGCTAGCAAAGCTGCTGGATCACAGAGATTCACACGTAACCACTGCTGTGCGTGGCACTGTTGGGCATATTGCTCCAGAATACCTGTCTACAGGTCAGTCGTCGGAGAAGACAGATGTCTTTGGATTCGGGATCCTGCTCCTCGAGCTGATAACAGGCCAGAAGGCATTGGATTTTGGAAGGGCAGCACACCAGAAGGGTGTAATGCTTGACTGGGTATTTATTGCTTAAACTACAATGGCGTTACTTTTTCAGAGCAGATCATGATGATTAATGTTCTAACGAAAACCAAGTTTCTTCTCTTTGCCGCCTTTGCGTACAACAGGTCAAGAAGCTTCATCAGGAAGGGAAACTGCAAGTGATGGTGGATAAAGATCTGAGAGGCAAGTTTGACAGGGTGGAGCTGGAAGAAATGGTCCAAGTTGCGCTGTTGTGCACTCAGTTCAACCCTCTTAACCGCCCAAAAATGTCTGAGGTACTAAAGATGTTGGAAGGAGATGGGTTGGCTGAGAAATGGGAGGCGGCATCTCAGAACCTCGAAACTCCAAGGTTCAGAACATGTGAGTACCCCCTTCAAAGATACTCCGACTACATTGAAGAATCTTCGCTCGTCGTAGAAGCAATGGAGCTTTCTGGTCCACGATGATTGGCGAACACCAAGACACAAATTTCGCCAGAAAGAAAACTGCAGCAATGCACGTCAGAGCTCTCTCATTTTCATTCTGTACAAACCTGTTTCTTTTCTTTCTTGGGAAGGGGAGGCGAGCGGCTGGTATTCCACGAGAGATCAGAGTATGTCCAAAGATTTAAGGAAAGGAAAAAAGAGTTGTAGAGGCTTGAAAATGTGATGCTGGTGGTGTCTAGTCATTGCTGTTGATGACATCGCGGTGTGTAATTCATCTGTAAAAAGAACTAATTTGTGGCTTCTTTGACTAGAAATCATGTTTGGCTTCTTTGACCAGAAATCGTTGAAGGCTGTTGTTCCTGTTATCAGTAGATTGATCAATGCCGGGGAGTGCAAATTTCCAAGGGCTTTGCAACATGCAAAGCAAGACCATACCATCTTATAGACAATTGGTTCCAATACAAGACTCAATCATATATGGAGATTACTAGACCATACCATCTTATGTAATTTGAGAATCAAACATTTGATGGCCCACACCATCAAAACACTTTTCAAATCTCTTATGAAGTTCAATGGATTGTCGTTTGTTTACAAGATGATATATATTTAGATATTTTTTAACAAAAAAATTTGACGTCATCTTTTCATCGTCATATCATGATACATCGTCATATCATGTTACTATGGTAATATCATGATATGACAATGGTATCATGATGATCACAGTCATATCATAGTGGTAAGATCATTGTATAATAGTGACGAGATGATATTATGAAGTCTTACAATGTCACTGTCAGAACTCATATCATATATCATAATTATATATATATATAAATATATATGGTGGCGTCTTCGGTGCACTCACTTTTTTTTGTGCATTCAGTGCACTCGCTTCATAATCGTCATTTTAAACATGAGATTTATGTCAAAATGATGTCAATAATAATTTATGATGTGATGAACAATTACGCACATGAATTTGCACAAAAACCATGAAATATTTGCTTTAAGTTGAAGGATTTAGAGTTTAAAGATCTAGGGTTAGGGTTAGGGTTTACAGTTTGGGGTTTAGGGATAGAACTCAAAATTGGAAGTCTAGGGCTTAGGGTAATCCGCTAATTAGTTGTTATCATATGTTATATCATCATATATATATATATATATATATATATATATATATATATGGGTGGTTCTATCGTACCTTGGATAAAATCTAAGGTACGGTATACCTTGAGCAAGAAAACACTATCTGGACCTCGAATTGACCAAAGTTTGACATCTTGTACTATTCCCAAACCCTTAAAGATTAAACTCTAGGTCTTAATTCTATAGATCTCATATATTAAGATCAATTTAATTAGAAACAAAAATCGACGGTCATGATTCGTCGAAATATATGCAACAAATTACATGCACAATCTTAGGGGTTAGGCTCTATGATTTTGAAAACTAAGACCTAGGGTTCACTCATCATAGGTTATGGTATAGTATCATGCTTAGAAATCTGGTTAATTCGAGGTCTAGATAGCGTCTTCTTACTCAAGGTATGTCGTACCCTAGATTTTACCCAAGGTACGATAGAAGCCACCATATATATATATATATATATTCGTTTAATCTTAAAATGAAAACCAATGAAAATTTCGACGAATCAGAATCGTTGATTTTCATTTTTAAGATTAAACGAATCTCATGCTTTGGGTTAATGAATTGGGGATTGGGATTCACCCATTAGGGGTTAGGGTATAGTACATGTCCCAAACTCCGATTAATTCTTTGTCTAAATAGCAAAACTCAATGGGGCGTACGGTAGGCTAGCGTACGCCCGGACGTACGCTAGCCTTTGCCATATATAGAAGGCACCATATATATATAATTCATGATCTATATAGCAAAACTCAATGGGGCATACGGTAGGTTAGCGTACGCCCGGACGTACGCTAGCCTTTGCCATATATATATATGTCAGATTGGTGTACTCCTGGGACCCGTTTGGATCAAGAAATATGATGAGGGATTGGGCCAGAATTTCGCCTCATCCAGGATTTTAACCCTTTTCCTCGTTTGGATAGCTCTCAATTAATACGAGATTTGGGCCACTCAAGATTTTACAATCCAATCCAACCCAGAATTAGAAATAGCTACCACCTCCCCAGGTACTTTTAAAATCCGGCCCCCATTTTTTCATTTTAGTCCAGCGTGTCCTTACTCATTTTTTGTTAATCCAATTTTACGCTTAACCACAATTTTCACAGACCTACCTCTCATTCTTCACATCATTTGCGAGAAGCTCTCTCCCTTCTCTCCCACTGTCACAACTCGTCGGCTTCTTCTCCCTCCCTAGATCCAACAACCATCTCACGAAGAAAGCCGATGCCGTCGACGACATCTTCTTCTCTCTCCCTCATATCCTCCCATCGTCTCGTGAATAGATCAACAAACGTCGACGTCTTATTCTTCTTCCTCCAGCTCGTCGGTCATTTTCGAACGAAGCCACAACAGCTCCGTCGACAAATCCATTCCCCTTCTGAGTGCCATCACCGGCTACGAATGGGTCGAGGATGGTGCGCTGGTTGTTGGTGATTCTAGGGAACCCTGTTCCCCATATTAGGGATTTTGGGTTTCGGAGAGCAGACAAATTGCAAGGAGGAATCAGTTTGTCTAGTGGTAGCGATGATGAATAAATGAATAATGGGATCTTCAATTCGATAAGAGGGTGATTATGGGTTACTTGTGGCCATGGTAATTTGGTGGCTATGATGGTGGTTTCTGGGTTTCTTCTTTGGATACGAAGGAGCAGGGGTGTTCAAATGGTTACTATGGTAATTACCAAATCAAATAAGCCTAAATTCTATTAACTATGAAATACAATATCATAACCAAAATCGTCCAAACTAATACAACAACCAAATCAACCAAACTAAAGTTTAATCAGTTTGGTTAATTGGTTAACCAAAATAATCAATATATCATTACATTATCATTAAGTGAGAAAAAAAATTCCTCCTTCCTCCACAAGAGCCAGATTTTATTAAGACCATTACTATCTTTACTAATTTTTTATTTCGAATTAGAAAACCTCTTATTCAAAAACTTATCAGCTTTGCTTGCTTTGATTCGGGGCTCTAATATAGCTACTATATGAATATTATTATGTGTAATAACTTTAAGTAAAGCTGTAAATTTACTAACCTCTAATGTTCCAAGCTAGTAGATTCATTTCTTACCTTTTCCTCAACCACCCCCTTAGCCCCTTTCTTTTTGACCGGGGAATGAAAACCCTTATCCATTGCTAAATCTGGTGGATCCAGCTCTGCTTGAGCTACCTGACTTGAAGAGCTCCCAGCACAGCAGGCTGCTGACTCCGCAAGCTTAGGTGGTTGCAAAGAGGTTCGAGAGCTCCCTATGTGACCAGATGACCCACGAACCACTTCTACAAAACTCATAACAACACCCATTGAAAGAAGTACCGGATCCCCCACTGCCAAATTTGGCTCAAGATTGCCAAGAACACCAAACACATTCGTGCTGTTGACATCCCCTGCATCATCTAAGACACGCTTGGCAGCCTCCTCACCCATCCAAGCAATCACAACAGTATTTGTCTTAGCCCTACGTACTGCATCCTCCTTATCCCTAGAAACACACCTCTAGTTTGCATCATTCTTCACCTTAGGAAACCCAAACTTTCCCATCAGGACGAGTATTATCGTAGTTATGCCCAAATACCTTACACTTTGAACAAACAGGAGGAAGATGACTATACTCAACATTAACCTCAAGCTCTGTTTCCTCATATGGGTAAAAATGAACCGAGCTAGGAAGCTGAAGTTCGCGCTCATCTCTCGATAAGCTCGGGGAAACCCCAAGCTGTGCACCCACACGAGTAGACCGATCCATGTGCAGTGGCACCCCTACCATGCTCGCAACCCATTCCAATCCATCAAGGGAGTTGTACTCAAGAGGTAAACCACTGAAATGAACCCAAATAGGGAGGGTTTCTATCTTTGGTTTGACAAGCTAGATACCTAGACTCCATTCATGAAAGAAAACCGGTTCCCTTGAAAGTGCCAAGGTCCCGATTGAAAGACCACTGACTCGTATCCAACAATGGGAAATGAAACACCAAAAGCAGCGATCCAAATCTACAGACCCGAATCGACCCATCTCTTCCCCACAAGTGATTTTCCCAGCTCTGGAGCTCTAGGATGCGAGGAATCTCACCCAAAATTTTCCAATTAGACTGTTCTTCAAGCGAATCGCCCCCTTCTCTTTTACCTTCTTCAGAATACTAAAACCATCATTGACGCATTCCGGAGGGCGATAACAAAGTCAATTTTCTAGCGCAACAGCAAACAACTGGGCCCAACAACTTCCCTCACAGGCCTGCCTAGACATCGACCGCCAAAGTTGACAAAAACCTAGCTCAGAGAAAAGGAAGAGAGAGAAAAGAAGAGAGAGCATCTCGTATTAAGGCCTCGTTTCTTTATGGATTTGGTTCGTAAAAACTAAGCATCATGAACTTTGTACACAATTTGTTGTTTGCTTGATGGATTTAGCAGGAATAAATCCGCGGAGGCCCACGGACTTTGAGAGTCCAAATCCGTGGACCCACGGACTTGAGAATTCCACCCCCAAGAGGTGGAATTTGTGTTGGGGTACAAAGTCCGTGATGACTTTTTACAATTTTCACCCTACTTCACTAATCACCAATTTATCCTCTTCCATTTAGACCAACTTATAGTGCATATTAATTTTGCATTCAATATTAATTTTTATTCATTGCACGCAAGCACTGCATGATTAAGCCCAAAGCATACTTTGCAACATTGAAAAACCTTAGGTGATTGTCTAATTGTGTGTATAATATGAAGTTGTTATTCTTTAATGAAGTTCATTTGTTCCGATTGTGGTAGTAGGACAAAACTATTGGATAAAAATTGCTTTATAGCAAAAATTATAATGTAAAAATAAAGGGTGTGTCTATGGTGCCTTGCAAGTCACCGTAACTTGCACAATTCGGTCGACCTATTCTTAACTGCGGTCGACCGAATCCCCTAAGATGGTCACTCTAATTTTTTATAAATGACCAACAACAGAGAAGTGGTCGACCTGAAATATTAGTAGGTCGACCTTAAAGACGTAAGTTGTCACTACCAGAACCAATTAGGTCAACCTTTGCTCTATCTAGGTCGACCTATCCAGCAGAATAATACCAATTTACCAACAAAAACATGTGTAATACTACCACAAACAATTGATAGGTAAACCAGACACATTGACTAGCTGACCTTTTAAGCACAACATAGTCTTACAAACAAAGCCAAAGTCGACATTCTGGATAAACAAACAAAACAAACAGAAACGGTCGACCATGATAAGAATTAGGTTGACCTATTGGGTTTGATCTTTCTTACCTCGCAAGTACAAAAGTCTGAGTGTTGTGCCCTAAATTCAATTTCTCGAATGGTCTTCTG